CTAGATGTAATAATAATAATTTCATTTCACTATTTGAATTTATATCTTATTTTAGGTCAGGTTGTTTGATTGTACAATATATCAACTCCAGCTGGGTTATTTAATGTTAAAGTTTGTATGGGGGCACCCAGTGAAAACTAACAACTCTGTATTAATGGCCAGCCAAACCCACTTTGCTAATCATTACCCCATGCTGTGGCAAAGACTCATTTTAGAGAATAGCTACATTATATGAGTCTGTCCAGAATATATCTAGCCATTTGAATTGGTTGTGTTGAAGAACTGGTTGTGAGACTATGATATAATTTGGTAATCAAATCCTGGGAGATGTTTTACTGTACATACATAAATATACACTCCTGTGGGGTTACTCAGTCAGAATGAGACTTTCTTCTGTGAAATTGTGTACTGAGTAATTGTGACATTCACAATGAGTTGATTCTAAAAGAGTCATACAGGCACATTTACCCTGACTCCCCACCAAGGCTGGATGTAACAAGGTCGTTTTAACATAGGGAGTGCCATACATATATTTATGATTTTTGCCCAGTCCCCATGACCACTGTCACGCTGGTATTGGTATTACACCGATCCAACCACTTTAGTGTGATGAAGAAGGTGCTGCCACAGAGTAGGAATCACTGAGGCTGAGCAACTTCTCCCATCTAAAATGAGGAAAATCATAGCCCCACTTACAACCATGCCTCAATAAACTCTTAATGGCTAATGAATAACTCTTGTACAGGTCTTTGGTAAAGCATCACATCACCTAAATCTATTAGCTCCCTAACAGTCCACACCTGGCTCATTGCAACTTCTGGTTTTTACAAAAGATAAAAATTGCTGTTGAAATGCTATGAGATTAATATGAAAACATGAAAGAATTTTTATAAAAATGAAAGATTCTGTGAGAAGTTTGTCAAGTCCCAATTCGAGCTTTTTGAATCAGACTAAAAGTAGTAGACTTTTTTCTTTCTTTTTTTTTCCTTAATATTAAATGGCTGGATCATTTCCAGACAGACCTTGCATATATGCATCTCTGAAGAATTAAATACTTCATTCCAAATTAAGACATTAATATTTGTAAACTTTAATGACAACTATAAGACAATGAAAACAACACTGATGTTAACAGATAAATATCAATAACATAATTAGTAATATCTTGCTTTTTCAGAGAAACTAGTCTATACTGTAAAAAAAAAAAAAAAAAAAATAAAGTTTGAATGCATCATTTCTTTTATCATTTTTTTCCAATTTCCTGAAATGAAAAGTAACTGAGGCAGAATAATAAAATTAACATGCAAATGTATGCAGTTTCAAAAAATAAAATTTTAATTATCAAATAAATTTTGCAAAATGCTAATTTCAAGCCAGAGCAAAATATAATATTAAATATATTAAATTTAAAAAAAACAAAATGTAACTTAAGATTTTTGCAGTCAAGGTGCAGTATAAATGAGAATAGTCAAGAAAGAATAAATTAGACAATAGGTTGATCCATTAATGCCCACACTATAATCCAGAATTACTTATAAAATTTAAACTAAAAATCCAGAATTACTTATAAAATTTAAACTAAAAATCCAGAATTACTTATAAAATTTAAACTAAAAATCCAGAATTACTTATAAAATTTAAACTAAAAATCCAGAATTACTTATAAAATTTAAACTAAAATCCAGAATTACTTATAAAATTTAAACTAAAAATCCAGAATTACTTATAAAATTTAAACTAAAAATCCAGAATTACTTATAAAATTTAAACTAAAAATCCAGTATAAATCATAGTTTTCTAAAAAAAATAAAAACCCTTTTTAATTATTGGTTTCTAAAATTCTAGTATTATTAAAATCTGGTTTTTATTACTGGTTTCTAAAAGATCTTTTATTAATTATAAAAATAGAATATTATAGTTTTTCCAAAGGCTATTAATGCAGTGTCATAAAAATAGGAGTGTGAGCATTAATTGGTCAATGATATAGAAAAAAAAAAAAAAGAAATTTTAATTTGTATGAAAATGATTGCTTTAATGAATTTTCCAGAAGATAAATACTCAAAAGTTGCACTAAATAATATTTAGAGATCAAACAGGGTGAAATTTTGAGAGAAAAAAAAAAAAAAAAAATTTGATCTTTACTTTTAATTTCATTTTAAGTTTAAATCAGCTTAGAATTCTTTATATTTTTTTTTTAGTTTTGTTGCATCTTATTGTGGCATTTTGTTACAACATTCTACGATAAATATCTTCTATTAAAGCAAGCAGGCATGAAACAAAAAAGTAACAACCAAGAAGACTTGAACTCCTTGGATAAGTTTTATTTATTCTGATTTCATGCTGTTTATTTTAACAGAATGTTTAATGTAGGATATTGTGATAAATCCAACAGTAAAATAAAGAAAAACTAGTCAAAATGTAAAAGATAATAATAAAATTAAATTAAAAATAACTTAATGGTTGTACTTTCTATGTACACCAGCATGCCAGTCTAACAATGAAATCAATCTATCACAATAACAATAATCAGAATTTCATAATAACACTGTAAATATACCATAATGCTAAAGCATATCAACATCTGTAATGATGAGAGAGAGAGAAAGAGACTAAAAGAACATATTCCTTGATATCAAGAAATGAGTTACAATGACTCAGTCATATAGTGAGGCTTTTCAATGAAAGAATAGAATAGTTGCCTTGAGATGGAGGTCTAATTGGGAAGAAAAAGAGAGACAGACCCAAAAAAAGAGCTGATGGAAAAAAGTAATGATGGAATTGATAGAGACAGGTCTTTCATAGGAGGTGAAGCACACGCGAAAGTACAAGACAGTTCAGAGTTCTGTGGCAGGGTATGGTTGCAGCCTTATGCCTCAATTAGGATGAAGAGAATAACACAATTAAAAGAAAATTTTATTTAGGCCTTAAAAAAGGAAATTTTTGAAAGTCTATATAAACACACACGCACATACAAATTTGTGATTGGTAGGGATAATTCCAAGGAGGACATTAATCGAAAGAGAGCCCAATGTAAGCTACAGAATAATATAATAACAAATCAAGAAAAACTTTAAAAATCCATATCGGTTATAATTTATTTAATGAAAATTTTTATATTCATTTCTTCAGACTGAAAGTTTTTTAGAAATGGAATCCATCCATCCAGATATATTGGGATAAAGAGGAAAAAGGGGGAAAAAAGAAAAAAAAAAAGGGAGGAAAGGAAAAAATGAAAAAATAAAAATTTACAAATATAAAAAAAAATCTAAATTAAGGAAAGAAAAAAAAAAAAAAAAAAATATATATATATATATATATATATATATATATATATATATATATATATATATATGTGTGTGTATGGATGTATGAGTGGAGTGTAATAAATGATGCCTCAGAATAAGAAATTGAAGATCTGAATTTGAATTCCAGTCAAGTTAATTACATTAAATTATCCAAATACCCTTGGAATCCATCTCTCCTCCCTTCAGCTACAGGTTAAATTGAAGGGTAGACTGGGGTCTCTAGCCATAATTGGCAACCAGTCTAGGAGAAGGACAACCCTGAATTCCAAAATGTAATAACTGTCCATGGTCCCTGATCCTCAGCAATGAGGATGGGATAAGTGATCGTTTTTTGTCACAATTTTTTTTTTTTTTTACAAATTAACCATTTATGGGTTATTTTATTTTCATTTTTTTGGAAGTGACTATCACATTAACAATTTTTTTGCAAATAACAATGATTTTTCCCAATACAAGCCCTACTACTTAACTCATAGCTGGGGGTAAGAGATAGTTTGTACCTTCCCCAAGTGTATTTGCATGTAAGTGAATGTAACAAACCTGACTGGAATTCAAACTCGGTTCTTGGATTTCTCATTCCAAGATGCTATCCATTATACCATTTTTCCAATGAGGACATGAAGAATTTTATATATATATATATATATATATATATATATATATAGAAGAAATTTTTAAAAAACAAACAAAAATCCTTAAATGTAGAAAGAAATGTCGACGTCTGACGTTTCGGTTTAATAAACCTTTTTCAAGACAATATTCATCAAAATACAATTCAGTTCAATATGACAAATACGATGGACATAAAAACACAAGTCTTATTCAGAACAGATAACTGAAAATTTTAAAATGATCAGCCTTCCGTCTAACATGGTCACGCCGTGTCGTCACATGGGCGACGCTTTTCATAACGTATTCCTAAAAAGTTTGTGATTATTTTGAAATGAAAAAGAAAATGAAAAGAATTCTATTAGGTTCTAAAATTCTTATGTGTATGAATATGAATATTGTCTTGAAAAAGGTTTATTAAACCGAAACGTCAGACGTCGACATTTCTTTCATTTTAACTACATTTAAGGATTTTTGTTTGTTTTTTCAAAATTTCTTCATTCTGTCGGATTTATATCCATTTACACTTGCTTATATATATATATATATATATATATATATATATATATATACAAACATTCTTAAGGTTTCTGTTTTTAAACCCTAAATAAAGGACTTTGGTTATTGATAATCTCTTAAAAAACTGGGATTCTTAAATGATAAACTAAGAAATCTGCTGAAAATTATTCATTAGAAAATAAGAGAAATTCTAAAAGACAAAATTATTATTATTAATATTTTTTGTTCATAAGAGATCAGAAAAAAATTAAACACTAAAAATGGAAAGAAAAATTAGTTAAAAAACTAATAGTGAAATTGATTTTTATAAGTTATTCCGGCAACTTAAAACTATTAAGAGAAAATAATTAATCATATTTGATTTGTGAAACGACCTCAAATTAAAAAACACATTTACTTAAGTTTCGAAACGGCAATTTCAAGAAGCTTTGTGCTTAGAATGAGAAAAAATAATCCAATAGTATACAAACAAATTCAGAAAATTAAAGATCTATTTGAATATGAGGAATGAAAGAGTAAGTCTTTTTAGTTTAAAAATAAAATTGTAGATAAAGGCTATCAACTGACCTTCATCTTCCGAATCTGAGAGCATCGTTTCTTGCATTGTTTCAGGTGCTACCACTTTGTATTTGTCTTCACTGGTTGGCAAAGTCTCCGTCACCTCTGTTATAGTTTTTAGGGTATCAACCACCGAAATGTAGCCCAGGCGTTGAGCAATGGACAGAGCTGTTTGGCCGTTCTGAAAAGAAAAGAAAAAAAATTCCTGTACATGTATGCAGACATAACAGACAAATGTAGATTAATTTAGTAGAGGATAAGATATGGGCTGATTTAGATGAATGAAAAAAAAAAAAAAAAAGATAAAGTATAGACCAATCTAGAAGGATAAAAAATTTAAAAAGTTATATGAATATAAAAATAGTTTAAGGCCTAAATACTCACAGATAATTTTTAAAAATGTGTTTAACAACTTTTCGATACCATATTTAATAGCATGTAAACACCCTTCCACATCAATTATCATAAAAGAAAAATGCTGAAAAATTATCTCCTTGACCATATATGAAAAGATATCTGGTAGGCTATTTTTTACCCAGATTCTACAGATTACCGGTTCTTATATATAGCCAAATGCCATAACCCTGTTGTAAATAGGTGGGGTTATTATATGCCATCCAATAAGGTAAATATTTTTGTCTTTTTTGCATTTAATAATTAGAAATAATGGTCATTTTCATCAAGATTACTCTTGTTATAATTTAAATATAACCAAAATAAAAGATTCAAATTTTATAATAAATTAATAAATTACAGTTGAAAAGAAATTTGGAATTATTTAAATTTTATCTCTAATTTAAAAAGAGATCTGAAAATAAATTAAAACAATGCATCAGTGTGTGTGTGTGTGTGTGTGTGTGTGAATGTATGTTTTTGTGTGTGTGTAGGTGTGCAAATAATAATAATAATAATAATAATAATAATTATGTGTAGTATAACAGAAATACAAATATACAACAATAATTTCTTTTTTACTTACATTGGTAACTGCGTTGGGAGAAGCTTTGTTCTTCAACAGCAAGTTTATGACCATGACATGGCCTTGCTGAGCAGCTTGGTGTAAAGGTGTATATCCCAACTGAAAAAAATAAATCAATTTTAAAAATGAGTAAAATTTCATTATTAAATTTTATTCATGAAATGGGGTGGGTGAGACAGCATAATTTTAAAACCTATTTTCATTTAGGATTTTAAAACAATTCTAACATACGTATTTATTTAGATTCTTGTTAAGTTTACTAACTAAAACTTCATAGCATGATAATATTAGTAAAGTGGTAAAATGTTGCATTAATAATGTCTTTTTTTTTTTTTTAAAAAAAAAAAAAAAAAAAAAAAGAATGGAACAGAATTTTAAAATTACAAACCAATTAATAAATTGTATATTGTTAGCTCATCCCTGTATTGAATCCATTAAAATATTTGCTCTTCTCTTAAAAGGGTAGGAAAACATATGGCCATAACTTCTGTTTGAATTTCTGGGATGAGGAACTATCATTATTTACATTATTTACATGTAGACTAATGTCATTTTTTTTGTTATTATCACAACATTTCAAACAGTGTGCCCTCTGGCTTCTTTCAGGTGTTACCCAGATCAGCAAGGCCAGAGTGTACAACAGTCGAAATGTGATGACAACAAAGATAAGGACAATAGTTCACATGTAAATAGGCCCATAAGTTAAAAACTATATTTCCCTTTGCCACTACTCCTTAGCTACAGAAATGAATCTATGACTCCACTGACAGGTTCTAGCAACAAAAAAATTTGCTTAAAAATGACTGTCCTTAACTCAAGATTACAAGCTCAAAATATTACAGTAGAAATAAATTTCATTAAAATTTTACACATCAAAGATTAGATTTTAGTTTAAAATCTGTGTTTGATATGAACTGAAATATTTAATGTGTGTGTGTGTGTGTGTGTGTGTGCACATATAAAATGGATAACTTATGGCCTACAACATTTTCCATTTAGGAGCTGTTTAAGTCAGCTGGTATTGGAAGTATCTATTAAAGGCAGACCCACACAAGAGTAACAATACCAATTGGCAACTATCACATAACCAACAATACCAACTGGCAATTCAATGACACAACTAACAGTTCCGAATGGCAATTCTATAAGAGAAGTGAAAGTGTTTATAAGTAATCCTATTGATATAAATATCTGGAGAGAGATCAATAAGCTAATATGGAGTGAAATTCAAATTCTGTAACTAAAGAACTTAGTGCCTCTTTTTCTAAGTCAGTGCAGGTGCAGTTTTGTCTTTTGTGCTGAGTCTTAATGCAAGAAGTGGACATGCTTGAAGCAAGTTAGTTTCAACATCAGTCTTCAGTCAACATCAACACTTACAATATCGGTCTTTGAGTGACTTATGCCCAGTTAAAAGCCTCCTAAACAAGTTTTGTGTGATGCAATCACAGATTTCCTCTCCACTAAATGATGTAAATATTCTACTGCTATTTTAGTCCCAAGTTTAATAATTCATACAATTCTCACAATCAATTTTGGGGTAGACATTTTGATTTCACTCATTACTACTGTAAGTATACACTTTAGCAAGTTACCTGCTACTATATGATGTGTGTAGGTTTGTTATTGTTGAAAATGCTTACAAACTTGTCTTCAAATCTATCTTTTTGAGTTTTTTTTTAAGAGTTGATAAAAAAAAGAAGAGAATATTGAAAACCATACAAACTTTTTTGATTAAACAGAAAAATGTAAGATGAGATTTATTTAAGAAAAAAAAATTAACCACACAAAATTAACTGTAAAAGTAGTCAATGGTAATTTTGGGATGAGGAGTTGTATTTACATGATGAATATACACCATATAAATACACAATTTTCATTAAATAAAAAATAAATTGCTTTTAATACCCCACATGCAGATTTAAAATCGAGGGTCTTATTATTTTCCTATTTATATTAATATTTATCATATTTTGGGGGATGCTAAAAATCTGAATTTGTTTGTCATTATTTTTTTTTTTAATAAAATTTATTGGAAATTAAATAATTCTATTAATTTTAACTAGAATTTACTTTCATCTTATTTTTTTTAATTTCTTTTTATCTCAACTCAATTTAAATACATATAATATTGTTAAACAATTTGAATGTTTAAAGCATTGTAAAATTTATTAATTGGTAACATAGCTCCCCTCTGTCTTTTCTATAAATACTTTCATGGTAATTGTTCTGATGACCTTTGTTCTGGTACCTAGACTTTATGAATTTAAGTGCAGTACTAGAGTGGCAGCTAGGTCACATTATCATATAGTATTGAAATGAGTCTGAACTGCACTTTCCATTTTACTGGAAGTGGCAGGGTCAGATGCACTATTTGATATCTGTAGCTTAATCAAAGTGCTCAGGTATATATAAAAAAAGGCTGTATCACATTTTGCATTAACTGCAAATGAAAAAGAATTTGGATTGTCAAGTAACTGTGAAAATGTTTAATAAAATAATGGATGTTTAAGAAAAGTGTCCATATATAATGAAAAACATTTAATTTTTTTTTTATTTGAAGGTTTACAAGAAATATATCAATTTTATTCTAAAATTTTTTAATATTAGGTTGGTGCAAAAATAATGATGTAATAATGTTGTTTTTTGACGTTAAAAAATACGTCAAAAAACGACATTATTACGTCATTATTTTTGCACCAACCTAATAACCTTTTACAATTTTACAAAAGAAAAAAAACAAAACATTTTTCTTTGTAAGACTGAAACAATATTATTCATATGTAAAAGCCCATGCTCGACTTAAAGAAAGATTAAAACATAATTGAAATGTAAATAATTTGCATGCTAATATGTGAAACTATGGGAACTGCCGATGGTTGTGCTAGCTAGCACAAAGTCACAAGTCATCATGACCGAGGGATTCAGGATGCTGGCCTTGTTCAAACTGTTGATCACACTAGATAACATGCTCTCTCCTAGAAACTGTAACTACGGTCGGCTCAGCATAGTTGCAGTATAAACCACAGGTGGGGGTCTGTGGGTGTTGATCAAACACAAAAAATGTGCCTGAGCAAGCGTCTGCAACAGGGATTGACTAGCTGCCCTAGTAGCCAGCCATTATAAATTGATGATATTTTCTGGTAATGGAAGTAAAATGTTCGGGAATAACCCTACACACAAGCCACCAATCTGCCACTGCATGGCATGCCACTAGCATTTACTGCAATTGGCCAGCTGTCGGACTGCTTGCATGTTCCTCTCAGCAATGTTACCACTGGCAAATTGCTAGAGGGCCACCGGAGACTACCACCAGTGGACCTCTGGTGTTGCCATTGCATCTTCCCTACATTGCAAGCTGCTAGTGGCCCGCCAGCAGGCCACTAGCAGCTTGCATATAGGGAAGACACCATTGTATATAAATGTTAATTTTTTTTTTTTTTTAAACCAAAATTAAGATTCTAAGCCACTATATCTAATAGGATTCTTAAAATGCAAATTTAAGATCAGCAGTATTCTGTGATACTTTTATTGCTTAATATCTGTATATTTCTGAGATGAGGTACCGTAACTATTTACATTGTGCACACTAATGTCTTCATCTTTATTGTCATATTCCTGGCATTTTGGCTGTTGTATGCTCCAGTCTTCTTCAGGTGACATATATTGGAATTTAGAACTGAACCCTGAAAGTGAGATATCCAGAAAAAGCATGACACGTGGAACTAGAACAATCTACCCTGGTGGACAAAATAAAGGGTTTGGTTTGAAATTCCAATGTATATCACCTGAAGAAATACAGAGTGTACAACAGCCAAAACGTCGCGAATATGGCAATAAAGATGAGGACAATAGTTCAAACAATGTAAATGGTTTTATAGCTTAATCAAGAGAATGGCTGTGTCCTTAAAATTTGATGATAAAATGTTTTAAAAAAATAAGAGTTTAAATTTAATCAGTCTAGGAGTAGAACTGGATATGCAGGTAATGTAATGATTATTGGCTCAGAAATGCTGTGTTCAAATTCTGATTATGTCCATTTCATTCAATTTGCACTAATGCCCTTGAAAAAGGGCAAGAATCCCTCTTCTACCAGCTATGTGAAAACAACAGCACAGACTGGGCTTTCTTGCCCAGGTGGGAAGTCAACCCCCCTCTCTATGTTGTTAGGGATTGGTACATTGAAGCTGCATACTTTGAAAGACTGATGTTTTGGATCAGTATGTCTTCTACTTCAACAGCTGTTCTCAAGGGGAACAAGTCTCAGTTTGAGACTTGCTACAATCTATAGGACGTGTATGCAAACACCTTTTTATATAAACTACAGAAAGACTAAAAACAATAAAATGACTTCCAAGTTTTGGTGTGGCTAGGAGCCTGGTCTACATTATAATTAGAACTCTTTAACTTTTGAAAACCTGAATGCAGGTTCATTCAAGCTCAAATTTAATGATTTGGGTCAGACATTAAAAAAAAACAAAAAAACTTTCCATTTTACAAATTAAAATAATAATACCTATCAATATATATATAATTAACATATATAATTTAACATATATCAAGGCTAACAGAATGTGACAATCTGTGTACCAACAATTTTTTTCTTAAATCTCTAAATAAATTCAGATATATTCACATATCATATATTCACATCCATAATTTTCCAGATTTCATCACTAAAGCTAGAATACTATTTACATAAAAACATTTTTATATATAGTATATACTTATTTATAAATCTAAATCCTCTCTAACAAGTGACAAACGCTTTCATTGTTATAATAGCCATAAAAATTCTACATTTAGCACACAAATATTTAAAAATTGCAACCCTGGTAGTCACTATTTATCTTTGTGGAATTGGTGCTGCAAAGTGTTAGACATTCTAGAAATACTTGTTCTTACTCTGAAATGTAACATTTTTTGTTCAGTTCAAAATCAAAAGTTATTTTGTAAATGAGGTAACTTATTAAAAAGAATACGAAAAATGTCTAATATGAGGGGATGCTGAAAAGTTCTCAATTTGATCTGATTGTGTGCATGTATATATATGTGTGTGTGTGTGTGTGTGTGTATACATACACACACTGCCTTGTATTCGT